GACGGATAGAGGAACACAAACTCGAGGTACCCTGGCGTACAGTCCATGCATGTGTAATCTTTTGCCATACAGTAGCTGCAGATATCACCTTACCAATGGAGGCTGTAACCATAGATGTCACACGTGTGGAGGTCGCTCTGCGATTCCGCTTGGCTACATTAGCAATATATCAATCTTCCGCGGAGGTTGTAACCCCTGGGTGACCAGCTACGGGTCTTCGGGCAACTGTCTGTGTGGTTTGAAATTGTTTCCATAAACGTGAAATTACAGAATGATGAATGCCAAAGAAAAGAGCAACATCTGTGATCGACTGTCCTGCTTCAATGCGCCCCACAGCACGCCAGCACTCAGAATCTTCCATTTGTCTTCTGGAAGTCATAGAAACATGTATGTCTTGAAAATAAATTGTACGAAAGTTTTAAACACCTTCTATCAGCACTTACAATCAACTTCTGTAACCCTTCATAAAGCTGGCTTTTTATAAGACTGCCTTTTTTGCATATTTCTTGACATGAAAGTGCGACTGCCTGTTACCTAACATATTTGCATACTTCAATCTACCTCTGCAGCGAATTGCATCCTCTTCAAATTCTGAATTCTGATTGGCTTCCAGAAATTAGCATTTTCCTCTCCGTGCTTTAATTTTGGAAGTGAGTGTATTATGTAGGTAGATAAAAAAAATAAAAAAATAAAAAAAAAACTTACTGCTCTAAATCATCAGCATTTGAAAAGCAATTATTGTGGATGGAATACTTTCTCCCCAGTGTGTAGATAGATGGTATTAGTTGTCCAGCAGTGGTTGTGTGAGTAGGTAGAATAAGTTTGCAGATAGGTGACAGCAACTGAAATGGCAAGACATTTAGAAAAGCGGTCTCACTTGGAGGTGCGAGCAGCGATTCATTATTCTGACTGAGTACCTGAAGTTCGGTGATACCGGTACTGCCGATAGTTATTCTGCCACTTTGACAAAGTTATGTGAAGCTATCAAACGCAAGTGCCCTGGCACGTTGAGCGATGGTGTCAGACAATACCCATCCCCATACTGCTCGCCAAAATCAAATATTCCTGCAAAAGTGGGAAGGCTGGGGTCATCCCCATATAGCCCAGATTTAGCACCCAGTGAATATTTCCTTTATCTAAAACTGAAGGAACATTCATCTGGAATGAGGTTCTCTTCAGACGATGTGAAAACAGCTACCAAGAATCGGCTCAGTGGGCAGAGATACGGTTTCTGCAAAGGTGGGTTAAACAAGTTGGTCATGTGTTCAGATAAATGCTTAAATAGATTTGGTGATTACATGGAAAAATGATAGAAAAGTAGGCTTCTTAATTTCCCCTTGTATTTTCTGTCAACCATTAATAGTTTTTTATTACAATTGTAACCTTTTCTTTGGATCCACTCTTGTAAATTCATAAAGCAAACGTTAAAATGGTTGAAAATAAATAGAATTTAAATTATGGAATGAATTTTATTAAATTAATTTAAAGTGGTATAAAATATATATAACATTACATGCGTACAGATTCGTAATGGTTTGAATGCATACAGAATCGATGAAAGCTTGGTGAAAGTTATTTTGCAAAAGCACTTCAGTGCTGTAACTTTAAACACAAAAATACTTAAGCACCTCTTCTCAGAATGACAGAGCACAATCAATAGCTTTAATTTAATAAGAACATTGAACACAAGGCAATAAAAAGCACCTCAAAAACTAAAGCTCGCGAGGTGATCTCTCAACACCCTGAATTTTCGAGCTAAAGTGAAAATTGAACTCTTTCTGGTCTTATGCAGGGTTTTATCTCATCCACCAAAGAAATTACCAATTGCTTCAATTTCTCAAAATTGCTGGAAGCCACATATAGTTACAGTTACACAGGGGCTGGACAAAAATGTTGCCAATATTGATGATTTTTAACAATTTCTCACTAAATCTAAAGAAAAAAATTAGTCACAAAAAACCATTGCCAACTTGGCGCTATCAAACCAAATAGCCATTTACCTCTTAACTCTGTTGCCCCATTTTTCTGGCAATGCTTCACAATCTGAGGCCTTTCCCACTACATTATAAAAGAGATACCACAATTTATAATTTCACTTATATTATTTATACTTTTAGTGAATGAACAACATCTTAGGATTGGAGGCAATGTTACAAATTTTGTATAACACACACAAGTATAAAATATACACAAAATATAACATACAAAATGCGTAACAATGCCCCCTTCCCGTGGACTGCACATCCTGGGCATGAACAGGAAGCCATATTTATAACTAAGGAAAATTAATAACTGAAAACTAAATGTAATACTAAACTAATAATCTCCCAAATAAACAAAACTTTACAAATATACTGAAATATAATACAATACATATAATACAAGTCCATATATACATAAAAAATATAAAGTCCGAGATCCGGACTCGTCGGACTTTAACGATTCCAGATTTGAGATTCTTTTCGATACTACATCATCAATTTAAATCTAGTATGATGGCATGCATGCAAAAATTATACATTTAAAAACATGAAAACGTGATTTATGAAATAAAGAGCATTTATGCAAAATTTACAAAAAAAAAAAAAAAAAAAGGCCTAATATTTATTTGTTTACTTTATTTATTTGTACTACTTTGTCACTCCTTTAAATGCTCAATATCGCATGTTTTTCGATTAATGAACAGTTTGCAGTTGTGCCTTCCTGCAGCATTTACGAATGCTAAAATTGTTAATCTTGCTTTGGAATCTTTGACACCAGTTGGAGCCTTTTCTCCAGAAGTTGCTAAGGTATTTTGTGTTACATATTGCCAGAAAAGACCAGTTTCATCAGCACTGTAAATCTGTTCTGGAGATAATTTTTCACTAGTAATGAATTCAATGAATTCATCTGAAAATACACTGCTGGCCACCCAAATTGCAACACCAAAGAAAGACAAGAGATATCACAACAAAATTTATTTAGTAGATAACATGTTGACCAAGTATCAAATGATTAAATTTATAGACTTTTGTGAAGTGTGGTTCCTTCCAGAATCAGAAGCCAGAGCAGCTGCCATTGTTTGAGATCACCACTGCCACACGCCTCGCATTTCATTCAGAGAGACTTTGGATGTCTTCTTGGGGTACAGCAGACCAAGCAGCTTCCACATGTTGCCAAAGTTGATCTGGTGTGGCAGCTTGGGATGTAATCTGGGTCAATCGTTCAGCAACCATGGACCACATGTTTCTATCGGTGAAAGATCCGGAGAGCAAGCCGGCCAGGGAAGCAATTTAATCTGACGATTGACGAAGAACCCTTGGACAATGCATACCACGTGTGCTCGTGCATTATCCTGTTGAAATATGGCTGTGGGCAAGCCCTGAAGGTAACGAAGGACAACTGGCTCCAACACCTCGAAGATGTAGCACTGGCTGTTTAAAGTACCGTCAATGTGTACAAGAGGAGTGCGAGAGTGATATCCAATACCGCCCTATACCATAATACCCAGTGCAAGACCAATGTGGCTGTGCATAATGCAGCTGTTCAGCATCCTCTCTCCACGGTGTCTCCAGACTCGAATCAGACCATCGTGGTGTTGCAGACAGAAGCGTGACTCGTCAGTAAAGACAATTTCATTCCATTATGCCGTCCACATTCTTCTTTCATCGCACCATTGGCGGCGGAGACATCTGTGGTTCTGCGTCAAGGGTAGAAGAAGCAATGGACGTCTTGCAGACAGACCAATCTGCTGTAAACAGCATCGAATGGTATGCGCAGACACTGGGTGATGCGTTACAGACTGAATGTGCTGTGCTATGGTATGCGACTGAGCGATCCATCACTGCAATGCGCATAATGTTTCTGTCATCATGTGAAGTAGTGCACTGAGGTGGATGCGATCGAACACGTCAGTCTGTCATATCCTCCTGCATCCAACGGCCACATATCCGCATAACAGTAGTTTGGTTTCGTGCAACACGACTACCGATTTGCCTGAAAGCTAATCCACACTCTCAGTAGGCCACTATCCTTCAAATTTTTAATTGCCTTACACTATGACGATTTTAAAATTTGGTTAACCAACCTGTTGAATATGTGCACTCAATTTTTAAGTTAATTTCTTCATGAAATATTTTGGCTTGAGCACATCAAATATTTGGCATCAAAGGCTTCATGAAATACAGTCAAAAGTCTTTAATCCGAACGTCCATAATCTGGAATGATCTATAATCCGGACCTCAAAGCTACAAACTTTCTGCGCATACATAGCATTTACGCATGCGCATAATACCTTTATGCACGCATGTTTAATGTATAACAGATGGTATAAGCTAGGGTAAAATTATCTAATTATCTATTTCAGTTAATGTTGCAGACTGCGTTGTTCCTTAATCTTCTAATTGGATCCGGCTTATTATTTTTTGCAGACTGTTAGAGCAATTTTATAAAAAGTAAGCTTGAACTTTCGATTATGTCAAAAAGAGTTTCCGATTCTGGAGCTGCCAAAGGATCTACAAAGCAAAAGCATGTTTCGATGTCCATCAAGCAAAAAGTGGAATTGCTGCAAAAAATGGTACAGGCATGAAGAAAGTGACAGAGAGGATAGTGAAAACGAAAAAATTTCGATTGACAAGTTAATAGGTATTCTCGTCACAGCAAATACAGGACTCGAACAGTGGAACTTTGTAACTGAACAAGAAATTATGTCTGTTTATAGAATTAAAAAGAAAGTATTAGCACATAAAACGAAGCAACTAAAACAACATTAATTGAAAGAAATGTTTAATAAGTAAACAAATATTAAGCTTTTTTTTTTTTTTTTTTTTTTGTAAATTTTGATACCCTTTTGATCATAATTGCTCTTTATTTCATAAATTACGATTTCATATTTTTAATTTTATAATTTCTGCATGCCATCTTACCAGATTTAAATTGATGATCTATAATCTGGAAAAACCTCTTATACTGTATATACAACATTATTAATAGGAAGAATATTTTTATAAAAACTATTTTACCTTTAATGTAGCTCCATTTGGGCCAACTAATCGTTGCCTTCGCTTTATGAACCTCTGTCTCTTTCTGACCATAGATCCAATCTTTATGATATCACAACCAATATTATCGTCTAATACACGTATTGCCTACGATGTTGAAATGTTAATAGATGCATATCAGTCATGGTAGATAAAATAAGTAATTTAAAGCTAATAGCAAAAATTATAAACCCAGCATTAAAAGAAATGACAAACTAAAATTGCAAATACTGAAATAATAATCTTCCACGCAGTCTTGCATAAAATTCCATGCAGTATTAAAGGAAAAAATATATTCTAGGAACTTGCAGTATTAATCATACATAACAACAACAGGATGGCTGTCCAACCAACAGATTATAACACAACTATCCAATTCATGATTTCATGTTCACTTGGCCGTATTTTTTAGTTAACCACAGATTCTCCATCTATATTTTATTAACAGACATTTTTAAGTTTTACCGTGACAATAATAAATCACGATGTCGACTGTAGAAATGGAAGTAGTTGATAATTATAAAAAGTTTGAACAGCCATGCTGTGCACATACCTATACCTATATACCTCCTAATTATTCATGCTGAATAATGCATGGATATAGAAAAAAATATAAATCTTCAGATGTTTTATTAAATGAAATACAACACAATGCTTAAAATAGAGTTTAATTGAAGTAACAAATGTTTAAAAGATTTTCCTTTACTCTGGCGAGGCAAATCTGTTATGCTTTTTTGTTTGTGTATCATGTTAAGATTCATTTGCATAATTTAGAAAAACATTTAGCAGCGCTAAAATGCTACCAAACCTGAATTCAGTTTAGTGATTCACATAGACTCTTAGCATATCTATAGATAGGGGTACCACCATATGGCTCACCACAGCATTTCATTGCCATCTTCATTTCTATAATGTAAGACAGGTGTAAGGCTGTAACTCAGTGATTTGTTTTGAATTATAGAGGCAAATGATGCTTTTGCTGCTTTTATTCAAGAGCCTTACTGTTATCATGGTCTTTTACCCAGTTTTTTTCAGTTCCTTTACGTTATATTATGATTTTAATTTAGAAGTCATAAAGGCTGCTATTACTGTTCAAACTGTATTCCTGCCTACTTTTTTGGACCTAAGATTCTTGAACTGTAATATGGTGACTCTTGATATTATTTTTAAATACAAAATATTATTTCATATTACTTTCAGTCTTCCCGATGTATTGATCCTACTTTACAGAAAATTAATTGGGGTTTTCAAGGCTAAAGATCTTGCAAAGCTTATTTGAAAGATGGATACCAATAGCAAGTCTGAATTGCCCCTACTACAATGGAGGCTTGGGGATTTTTAGCAACTCCTATAATTTATGTGTGGTCAACTAGGATTGTGGCCCCACTTTTTGTTCAGAACAAGGATCAAGGTTATATAGATGCCCCAACTATGGGAGTTGATTTGCTTTCAAATGTTCCCTATTGGTTTCAGTCCTCACGTGACGACTGAATATGATTTATCAGTTTCTGTTGCTCCTTCTAGTGCTGTTAAGAGAGTTTTGTTTAATAAGAAAAGAACAAAAATCAAACTGGAAATATTTTGAAAATGTTGTTTACAGTATATTCCTTTGATTAAAAATCATCTGGGTTCTTGTACAATTACTGACTGACTTGATGTGGGTGCTGATTTTATAACTTCAGATATTTTTCAGGTATTTATTAAATCTATGTCTACACTAGTGTGCAAAAATTAAGGTCGAAGTCGAAAAATTAGCATATCAGCTGAACGAAGAGGCAGAGCGGACAGAAAGATTAATCAGGAGATTAAGTAAGGTGATGTAAGGTAGCACATGCGCAGATATGCAGGTAGACGTAATAGGGGAGTGTCTGAGTAGTATAAAGCATGTTGTCGGTGTAAGATCAGTATTTCTGGCAAAGAGATTGCACGCCGTATAGCAGTTAAAATCACACCGAGTTGCTGCCTCAGCGAGAAATGGCGAATAATCAATCTGTTAGACGACATCTGGATGCTTTTACCCGAGGTCGAATCATTGGGAAGTTGGAGGAAGGCCGCAGTGTGACAAGTGTGGCTGCAGAGTTCGGAATTGCTCACAGCATCGTTTCACGACTTTGGAGACAATTTCAAACTACAGGAACAGCTATCCGGGGGTTTAGTAGTGGTCGTCCACGAGGAACCACACCCGCAGATGACCGGTATATTGCCTTACAGGCCAGAAGAAACAGGCGGCAGACAGCGGGAGAAATCGCTAGACACACCACACAGGCGACTGGACGACCGATATCGCGTTTTACCGTGGCCAGAAGACTGCACGGTGGTGGTCTGTTTGCACGACGCCCTGTACGGTGTGTACCTCTAACGCCTGCCCATCGGAGAAGGCGTTCTCTGTGGTGCCGGGAACACCGGAATTGGAGAGACAATGAATGGGGACGAGTACTCTTTACAGATGAGAGCAGATTCAGTCTGAGTAGCGATTCTCATCGCATACTCATCTGGAGAGAGCGGGGAAGCCGCAATCATCCCTCGAACATCATTGAAAGGGACAGGTATGGAGGTGGCGGTGTTCTCGTTTGGGGAGGCATCATGCTTGGTAGTCGTACAGACCTTCACATCTTCGACGCAGGTTCAGTCAACGGGACCCGTTATTGTAACGAGATTCTTCTTCCATATGTGCGTCTTTTTAGAGGCGCTATGGGTCCGCAGTTCCTTTTCATGGACGACAATGCACCATGTCATCGCACAGTAGCTGCCGAACAGCTCTTAGAGAGTGAGGATATTGAACGTATGGATTGGCCGGCACGATCTCCGGATCTCAATCCCATCGAGCATGTATGGGATTTTCTAGGCAGACGCTTGGCAGCTCGTACCTTACCACCAGTAACGATTCCGGAGCTTCGATTGGCGCTGCAAGACGAATGGGCAGCAATGCCTCAACAACTCATTGACACCCTCATTCTCAGCATGGGCAGACGCTGTGAAACCTGCCTAGCAGTCAGGGGAGATCATATCCCCTATTAAAGACCGGATGTTTCTTGCTGGACACCCATCACAGGGATGTTTCGGCCTTCAGTCGCATTGCGCTCCATGCTACTTTTTCAATAAAGCTTCTTTTTATCCCTCTGATTTCTCTTTTAGTAAGTGTTGCTTACATTACTCATGTCCTTACGTATTGGGGATCTTACGGTATTAAATGTGTTGATTTGGAAAGCTTTTGTACAAAGTTATATTGAAAAAAAACCGTCTCGTCCTTAATTTTTG